CAGTTTATTGACTAATGCTTGAGGTTTTATTAGATACTTGGGGGAAATGACCACCTTGACCTAAGATTTACATGTGTAAGTAATTCTGTTCATGAAAACAGAAGTTATCCTTGCAAACTTAAATATATATTCTCTGTCTCCTGGTCTCAGGGTTATTGCTGATACGAGCTATGCAGCATTAGTTCCATGAGATATCCTGGTTTGCTTTGCTGTATCTGGAATTATCAACCAATGTTAACAGCATAAAAATTCCACAAGGAGGAAGATTCCACACATGAACTTTGATTACACCATGGATGCTATTAAGTTCAATAACTGGCCATTAAAATAACCTATGTGTTCTCCTATATACCACTTTGTTATTCACTGCATCTCCCCAACAGCCTTCAACTCTTCTATAAACCAGCCCTTTCTTGCAGATTATTTCTCAGGAAAAAAACTACAGTAAAAAGAATCCATGTGAAAGTATATGTAAAGAGCGTTGTGCTGATAAATACCTCACTAATGTTTTGTCTTTTACAGCCTGTCAACCAGGGTCGTCACTATCAGAAAGAAATGAATCCACCTTCTCCTTCTAACCCCCGGTAAGAATTATGAATAATGTAAATTTTTTTTTTAAAGATTAGTTAGAAGAGTATGCATTTCTCTTGGTTTCATGAAATTGTTTTCCAAAACTTCCAAAGAGCTTGCCAAAGTTGTTTTTTTGTTTGTTTGTTTGTTTTTTTCTTTTTTTAGAAGGCTTAGTTCAGTTTGCTTTTCTTATGCAGAGTATGGTGTAGTGGTTAACAGTCTACTTAGGTGTAAATAGCACCTCTGCCTTTTACTAGCTATGGAACTTTGAACAAGTCATTTAACTCATTGTAATTCAGGCATAATAGTTTCCTCATAGTATTTTGGGGACGATCAAATGAACTAATGCATGAAAAATTCTTGGCACAGTTCCTGGCACATAACAAGCTCTCTTGAAATATTAATTCATTTATTATTATTCTGTTTGCATAGATATTTCATTTTAATAGGTATTTGATGTTTAGTGTATTTGAGGCATAAATCTTTTTAATATAACCTGGTGCCTTTAAAATTTTCAAGATAGCTTATACAAGTTTAAATGGCCATTCTCCTTTTCATTATTTCAGAAGTTCATAATCTAAAAATTATTTCATTATTTCATAAATGTCATTGACACATGAGTGATTTGTCAATATAGAAAAACCTCATTATCTTAGGCTCATTAGGGACAAGGAAATTTGAATTTCAGTTTCAAAATCTATGTAGTATCTATCTAGTATCATGGGTTTCTAATACATTGCTAAATAAGCTAGTTTATCAGTATAAATCAATATGACTTTATTATTATTTATTATATAGTAGGAATTTATTAAAAATCGGTTTATCTTGAGCTCCATGCACAGGGGCTTACTTATTGTAATGCATCTCATTGTCATGCTCTTTCACTTGCACTGTGGCTTGTCCCACGGAATGGACCAAAACACGAACTGACAGCATGATAGCTCGGGCTCCAAAGTGTGATATCTGTTAACACAGTGTCTGAATTAAGACTCATTGGTTGCACATACCGAAAACAACTTAGCTAACGGAGGAAGAGAGGGGAGGGAGGGAGAGAGAGAGAGAAGGATTTGTTAAATAAGATTATAGGGCTGNTTATAAAGCATTCCTCAGCAGTCATTCAAACCAAAAGAAAGAAAGAGAACAGTGGCCTCCTGAACGAGTTCATTCTGTCGTGAAGTAGCTCAGAGACCAACGTTACAAAGAGCAAGCTGAGGAATGATTATTTATGGACTGAAAAAGCTGAACTCTTGGTTGCCCTGGATACAGCGTTCTCATCCCTGTCCTGTTCTGCCAAGGACTCATGTGCTCGTGCATGACAACCACTCCACTCTAAAAGTATACGTCCAAAAATAACATGTTGGTAATGAACTTAATAACCCTTCTATTTGACCAAATGAGAAATTGAAAACAGTCAGTTTTTCAGACAGAGAAAATAATTGAAAAGCCTACCATTGGTATTCATAAGATATGTTTATTGTTGCATCAAATTCAGCTTATTTCAATATTGGAAACTATCACCAAATGGAAAATTGCATTCCTTAGTGAACTTCTGCACCTTGTCCCTCGTATAGAGTTTAAATAGAGCAGTTTTCAAGAACCATCGTGGTCTTTCTGAGAGCTCACGCCGTTCTCTTTAGAAATTGTACAAGGACCATGAAAAAAAAAGAAATGGAAGAACTCATAACTTTATCACAGTAATATCCTGCTTTCCTTGTATCTTGCTGATGGCGCCGCTATCCATGCTGGCACTCAAACCAGAAATTGGGAAAACATCTCTGTTTCTCCTACTGTTTCATTTTCCATATCCAATTGGTCTCCAAATCCTAAGGATCCTCTCTACTTTTTCCCTCTTATCCCTCCCTGCCTAACACAATAGCCTTGGCACTTTATATTTCATCCAAATTCCTTCAACAGTCTCTTAACACTTCTGTACCCCCAGTTCAAGCCCCATAGCCTGACGGTTGGGAGCATCCGCTTGGAAGTCATATTGCCAAGGTTCAAATCCAAGCTGTGGCCTTGTGAAGCACTTGGCACTGTATCTGAGACATAATAAGCATTTACTAAATAAAGATTAGTTGTCATTTTTATTATCATTATTAGTCACACTAGTGATCTTCCTAAAGCCCAGATCTGATCTCTTCCCTGCATAAAGCCCTTTCATATCTCCCCACTGCCTTTTTAGTTTGTCATCCAGCCCCCGCCCCACATGATCTGAGACCTGCCCCCCTCTCCAGTCTCATCTCTCACTGCTCCCCACCTTTCACTCATGCTTTTGTCCCCGTTGTCTACTTCCTAATGCACTCTGCACATATCTTTGTACCTTGTACCTTATTATCCCTCAGGACCTAGCTCCAAAGCTTTCTGTAGCCCTTCTCCAGGCCTCATTGTGAGACATACCTTCCTTGCTGCCACTAGAGCCAGGAAAACCTCCATGGTGACTCTAACCATAACCTCGCTTGACTCACATTAATTCATTCCACATATATTTTTTGGGTGGTACAACATGCTGTGAATTATGCTGGGGATACAGATAAGACTTTACCCAGCCTTGAGATGTTCACCAAATTGGAGGGAAGCAGAGAGTAAACAGTTCACTGTAAGTCAGAGTAGTAAGTGGTAATACCTGTAGAATAAAGAGTGCTGGGAACGTGTGAGAGGGAGCAATTAATTCTACCTGTTGGTTTCAGGATGTTTCACAGAGAAAGCTACAGTTAAGCCAGAGTTCAAGAATGAGTACAAGTTCACCAATAAAAAAGAGGGAGAAAAGAATTCCAAATTCTGAAAAGGAACAGAATCTATGGAGATGAGTGCAGAGCCTCTTTTTTAACCAGATAACCTTGTCTCAGTGCCACTGTTTCTCCACGGCCTTGAGCAGGACTTAAAATGGGTTTCTGCTTGTCTCAGCATCACTGCCCACCTCCCACTCAACATACACACAGAACTAACTGCTCCATTCTCTAGCTATAGTGTGCAGCTTGCCCGTCACTGCCATGCCTTTCATCCAGATCATGCCAATCATGCCATTGCTCATGCTCTTTCATCTGCCTGGAGAGCCTCCATTCCTCTTCTCTACCTAGAATACTGTTTTCCAAGGCCCAATTCAAATGTCACAGCTTAATGAAACTCGCCTGACCCTCAACCACTCTGCACAGAATTATTTCTTTCTTCTCTGGGTTCCCATGATTTTCAGGCTCAATGATAGCACTTACTGCATCAGGTAACCATTGTACCAATATCCCACAGGTCTGCTCGTAAGCTTCTCGAAGGTGGTACCATGCTGAGAGCAGAGCCTGGCATGAGTGGCACACTCAGTCACCGCTGGCCATTAGTGGTTGTGTCAATGAATTGATCAATAATATTAAAAGATTCCTTTCTTACTGTAAAATAAGGTAGTTTTCATCAAAATTCCAAAATAAATATGAGCTTTTTTTTTTTTTTGCTTAAATACATCCTGAATGTTGCAAGTAATATCTTACCTTCAAGACCTGATAAATGGATATTAAATATACACACAAAGGAAAAATCTCCCTCTGGGCAGGGCTTAATGGCCAGTAGCTGAAAAAGTAGATTTAGGCAGGTCACGTTCAGTGTAACATCTCCGCCTAAAGACTTCACACACATTGCAGTCCAAAACCCGAAAGCCCACAAAGGAAGAGTTTAGCAAACTCTATTGTGTTTACCACCGACTTTGATTCCTCAGCTTCCCTCAGCATCTGTACAGTTCATGGTAACATGTACTGTTTAAAAGGTGTTTAGATGTAATAAATTAGTCAGTTAAAGTGTAATTAAATGTAACCATATTTCTCATAGTAAATTGGCTTTTGTAGACATCTCCTGCTCAATAAATCAAGCCTACTGAGAAATCTACTGTCCTTTGACAGACAAATTTTTCAAAGTTTCTGAGAACCAAATTCAATTAAAACAATACTTTACAACTTCTGTGGAAACCGGGCTACAAGTAAGCAATTTTGGAGGGTTTCTGTTAGGAGTATCCCTTATGAGATTTATTCAAAAAATGGGTTCTAGAGAACTGTAGGAAGGGAGCTAGGACTTGGTAATAATGGATTTTTAAGTGAATTTTATTTTGGTGAGGGATTTTGATTAACAATAGCATAAAACCATGTCTTGGTGGTGGTGTGTGTGTGTGTGTGTGTGTGTGTGTGTGTGTGTGTGTGTGTTCTATTTAAGGA